CATTTAGGTTTGTCGCTGAATTAACCAGGATTTGATAGCCCTCTTAAAGTGGTGAAGTTTGCCGCAAATTTCAAGTGATTGGGTAGTGAGTTCCAGGACTTTGCTTCTTTTCACAGAAAGGCTTTACAATTTCCACGTGAAGCTGCTCTGGTGGATCGGCTGCAGCTCTGTAGACTCGTGTATATTTTCAGAAAGGCTGAGGAGAGGAAAGGCTCCAGTTGCAGAATTTTACAAACAACCAAGATGAAACAGTGTGGTACAAATTGCACAGAGCCATTGTATTTTGAGTGCTTACACCAAAACATCTTCAGTTTGCACTCAAATCTTACTCTAATGGTAAATCATAAATAAAAACATACCTCCGCCTCAGCATCACAACAAAGCAGACACTATTATGACAGTGTTTTGGCAAGATATCACAAAACACATAAAAATTTGCCCCACCCTACTTATTTAAAATACCAATCCACCCTAAAACATTTTTATAGCTTATGTGCCTTGAATTCCCTGATACATGTTGTTTTTCATTAGAGCTAATCTGACAGAAAATATTATATTTTCCCCATATATTTTCACTCTTATTTAACCGTTTTTATCACAGAGATTACAGCAGAGAACTGTCAGGAAATGAGGCAAGAGAAGGATGGAAAGGGTGGAAAGAGATGCAACAGTGGTTCCTTATTTTTAAGTTAACAAATGAGACTTAAAAATGTAGTCTACACTGTACTAGTACAAGTAGAGGATTAATTCGAATAGGATTAGGATTCATTCAAATATTTCACCTATAATAATGCTATAAAAGGCAGACCGAATGCTTAGACAAAATAGCGTTTTAAGGATAATTTCTTAACACACATAAATCATCACAAATCAAAGCAAAGCATTCAGATTTGTGTTTTTGTTCACAAATGTGATGTGTAATGAAATGGAAAATGTAATTTTAACCTTTTATTGCTGGTCTGTGTGTACAGGAAATAGCTTTAGGCGCTTTGGCACTTTGCACTGCATGACACTCAAAGTTAAATGCTTCAAGTCAGTAACAGCTGTCAAAGTGGCAATAGAGCATCCCTGGTGCTGAGCCACAGGTGGCTCTGTGGTAACCGATCAACTCATATCTTTAGCAAACTCCATTGACTGATACATGTAGCTAATGATTAGATTGAAAACCCGCACAGGCTGAGTCACTTTCTCTGTCTCCTATCAGGCCGTATTTGCTCAGCTGCCCGCTCAAGCGTCAGCGCCCAACTGACACAGAATGAATTCCAAGGAATCCAGATGGGCTGTGTCAGAAATAATGCGATAATATATTTACAGTCTGGTCGTGTATCAGTGTTTTGTCTGCTCGCCTGTGTGTTTTAATATGATCTCTCTGTTGTGTGGGTGTGATAGGAAACATGCTGGAGTGGTGTCTGCCCAAAGACATGGATCTGGAGGGAGTGGAGTTCAAAGCCATCGCCAGCGGCTCCCACCGAGTCACCACAGACTTCATGTAAGTTATGTTTATGCATGTGCGATCAGTACAAGCATTTGCAAAGCAGAAGAAGTTGTTCATCTTCTTTATATCTTTACAAGGACACAACCAAGTGAGGGAAGCTGATTTAGAGCATTAGGATGCGGGCCCATGTCTTCTTCCTGGCAGGACAGAATGACAGAAAGTGTTGCCCGGTGAAAAAAAAAAAGAAGCCCAGCCATCTGGCAGTGCCTTTGCTTTTCATGACTCATGGCTTCGTCTGTCTCCATGTCTCCCCTCCATCCACAGCTACTTCCGGAAGGGCTGCTACTTTGGCCTCGCCTGTTTTGCCAACATGCCAGTCGAGAGCACGGTGGAGAGGGGGGCGAGGATGAAGTCGGTAGGGATCCTCTCTCCTTCCTACACCCTGCTCTACCGCTACATGAGCTTCCTGGAGCACCAGGTTCGGTAAGAGGAGCTAGTTTGTTCAACAAAGTGGTCTGCCTATGCACTTGGCGGGAGCTTGTTAACTTTCACTGAACAGCAGACTTAGAAACAGGGCTGCGACTAATGATAACCTTCATTAATAATTAATCTTTTTTGGGGATTAATCAGTAACAATTTGCCCATTCACAGTTTACCACAGCCCGAGGTACACAGAAAAATTGCTTGTTTTGTCCAACCAACTTTTCAAAACACAAAGATTTTCAGTCAACAATTATTTAGTAGCTGTAGCTTTTTGAACTTATCACTCGATCTTCGTCTGGATAGTACGTTTCCCCTCCTTGTCATGAACTTTGTAGATTTCCAAATTTCACATTTGCACTTTAAAGATGTTCCATGTTGGCTTTAAAGTTGAGATCAGCTTATGAAACAAAAGCAAAACATAGTTTTTGAGAAGGTGGAACCACCAAATGTGTGCATGGTAAATGACTAATTGATGATTAAAATCTTATTTAGTTAAATTTTTCTCACTATAATTTTGTCCTGTAATTAACTGTTTGAGCATAGCTTAAAGATGCTGTCTCCAAACAAAACGATTAATTTGTCTTCACAAGGGAGATCCTAGATTTCACTTAACTGAGTACAGTTAGGATACTACGAAAGTCTGAGGAGTAATTTTAGAATAAAGTGATAAAATAATCAATAACATAATCAAATTATATTAAAATGATAGCTATATTGTGATATGTTTGCTATTGTTTTTTATTGTTTTGTCATTCAACACTGAATACGTCTATGTTCACATCCACTGGTTATTATTGGCACCACGGGGAACGACAAAGTATTAGTCACAATTACCAAACAAGTGAAACTAGAAAATATATCCTTGTCAGTTAAAGAATTATTAATAAATATAAAAAAAAAGCTTTTATATGGTTGCTCCACATATGTTCTATATATCAGAATGCACTTGTCTGTTGGGTCCCACTAGTAAGATGCTTTAAGTATGGCAGTACACACAGGTATGGCCTCTAGGGGCCGCTCGTGGGGCTTTTTAACTCTTACCCTAGTTCTTCTTCCTTCTTTTCCCTCATCTCAAATTGACCACTCTCACACTTTCCATGACAACTGTTTTCTCTTTCTCAAAGATCTCCTTCAGCAGCCCTTCCACTATCTTTAGACTCCATTAATCATTCTGCTGGTGCGGACAGGCCCCTGTACTTCAGTTTTACATCCCAAGATTTGTCACACACCTCCCTCTCTATATTCAGTCCCTCTTCCTCTTTACTTTCCCTGATCCTCCTCTCTTCCCTCTCCACATTTCCCACACTCTGGCCTCTCCTGGCCTCGAGTCATGCAGCGGTCATGCTCCTTCCTCATCATTCCCCACTTAGCTCTAGATTCCCCATCTGCTGACTGCTGTAGCCGTTATATAAAGGGCTCACTGTTGATCACGAGGTGGTTAAAATAGTTAGGCATTTATTGATGCCTTCCCTTTTTTCATCTCTCTCTTCTTCCCTCTTTCTGGTATAGTGGGAATACTAAATGGTGAAATGGTTAGTGGTTGCAGAAAAATTAACAAAGCCTTAATTTATATAAACATTTCACATTCTATAGGCATAGTCGAGGTCTAGCTATGTCTCTGTACTTTGGGAGCAAATATTTCCCAGACTGCCATCCAGTGTCTGGGAAACATCAATTGTCATTTACATGTGTTTAACATAAAAATTTAAACATTTTCCTAAATTTCTTAAGTATTAATGTGTGTCTGCCATCAGTGTGCTGCGTTAACGTCTATGTTGACATAATTGGATGTCATTACTTGTCCCCTGCTCCAGGCTCCAGCTTCAGTCCCCAGGCCACTACTCTCCCCTGGAGGCCTTCTATGAGGACAAGAGAGCACTTCTGCCCCCCAGTGGTGATGGTGTCATTACTACATGTCCAGCCAATGCCTGGGGAGCTGCAATCAATCACAGCATGCACCCTGAGATGAAGGTAGGAGGGACATTTCCACTTCTGCAACTACATGTCTCTGGCTGTGACCATTACTACATTACTCAGAAACCTTTTGCGCCTCTGTGTTTGAATACCTCTGGACCAGATCACCCACCCTGCAGGCTGTATGTCCCAGTTCATCCGCTTCTTCGGGGAGCAGATCATGGTGCTGTGGAAACTGGCTCTCCTACGCAGACGCATCCTCATCTTCTCCCCTCCACCAGTGGGCGTGGTCTGCTACAGAGGTGAGAAACATTTGGATTTATTCACAGGGTTTGAATAGAAGTTTAAAGGAATAGTTGACATTTTCGGAATTATGCGTATTTGCTTACTTACCTAGTCAGATGAGAAGACTGATACTGATGACGTGTTTGTCCATTCAATATAAAGCTGGAGCCAGTAGCTGTTTGCAGTAGATTAGCAATAAGACTGGAAGCAGGGGAAAACCACTAGCCAGCTCTGTCTGAAGATAACAACATCCGCCTACCAGCTCTCCTAAAGCTCATTGTTAACATGTTTTATCTGGTTTGTTGAATCTGTTCTTAAACTCTCAAAGTGTACAACTAACACATTCCTTTAATTTAAAAATCATCAAAAGTAGATGAAGATTATTTTCAGGTTTTTACTTTCTAAAAAGGTTTACATGATCTTTAAAGCTCTGTAGCCTGCTAAACCTATTCAGAAAACTGTGTCTTTTACTCATTCATTGTATGAGTGTGAGGATTTTACAAGAGCGTACACCCAGTTCCTTTCCAGCTGTATCAGTGATGGACAGCCGAGACGTCATGCACACATTGCTCTCTTTCTCTCCCACACTCACGTGCGTAATTTCACCCTCCACCCCCTCTTCCCTTTCAGTGTACTGCTGCTGTTGCCTGGCAAACATCTCCATACCCGGCATCGGCATCACTGTGCCCGAGTTCCGCCCCTTCTTCTATGTTAATGTGGCCGATATCAGTGCCCTGGAGAACGAGCTCTCCTACGTAGCATGTGAGTGGATGCTCAAACCATGTTAATGTTTGCGAAAAGCCCCACTGAAAAATGACTAATTTACTTATTTTGCAGGTATGATTAGCATCTTCTGTATCTCAAATCTTCCTATGTGTGTGTTTGCATGCTTAGGTACTACTGAGAAGATCTTTGAGGAGAAGAAGGATCTGTATGATGTGTATGTAGACAATCAGAATGTAAAGACCTGCAGAGACGGCCTGAAGCCTCTGCTCCGCCTCAGCACCGCAGACAGGGAGAAATATCGCAAACTCACCGAGCAGAGGTAGGTAACACTGCTAACACAAGAGGTGTACTGCTTACACTTCACAATAATTTACAAAGAATATATATCTACATTATTCTTATTGTCAACAAATCCCATAAAAAGACCAAAACGATCAATAAAAACAACTAAAATGTATATCCATAAGCCACACTGTTTCACTCTGTAACATGTTCCTTTTATTACCATGAATATTGGCAGTTTATTTTGAGTCAGTCACACATACACCATCCTGCTGCACCATCCTTCTTTGCAGCAGAATCTTTCACAAAGTAATTTTATTTATTTATAGCAGTGTGGCCTTAGGGATGTCGGTCCACTACTTTAGTCCAAACTGACATATTTCCACAAATATTGAATAGATTACTATGACATTTTGTATAGACATTTATCATGATCCCTTAACTTTGCATCTGGTGCTACTGACAATTCAAAGGTTTGTCCATTGCTTTGGATTTTGACCAAATACCGGAAAACTAATGACATACCTCATCTGTCTTCAGGCTTAGCTGTACTTTGTGTTTACTGCTAATTATCAAATGTTAGCATGCTAAAACACTATACTTAGATGGTGATAGTAACCATTATATCTGCCAACATAATAACATAACATAAATTTAGCATGTTAACATTGTATTAGAATTTTGTCATGCTAACAAAACACCACTTAAGTAACTAAGATGCTAGCATAAACTTTACTGTTTCTTAACTAAAACACATGCATATGTCCCACTACTACAAGTACATACTCCATATGTATTTATGAATCACAAATAGTGCACTCTCCTTTTCAAAGGATCAGCTAGAAATAAAGTGTGTGTGCGTGTGTGTGTGTGTAGGCAGATGTTGCTATACTCCCAGGAGGAGAATGGAGACTGTGTGTCCAGTGAAGAGGATCTCTTTATTCTGTAAGTACAACATGATTCATTTAACCACCTCGTGGTGTGGTAACTACCTATTAACCACTGTTTGAAGAACGGCGAGCACAGTTACTAAACTTAATGTAAATTAAACTTTAATCAAAGAGTTAATGGCCCTGGCAGAATCTCCGCACCTTTTTTCCTTCTCTCACAGTCGCAGTTTGTGCTGATTTGAGTGCTTTTTCCCTGTGATCACTGTTGCTATTCAGCATAGAGACATGAAATAAAACCAGAGGAATGTAGGAGGAAAGCATACAGGACACAGGGAACAAAACAAACTGAAAAAGTATAGTTTGCAGGTAACAACATCTCAAACTACCACCTTCCTTCTAAATTGTATCCAGGTTTTTCTTGGAGCAGAACAACAGGATTTTCCAGACCCTCAGTGAGGTGGCCGGGAGCCCCGATCCCACACTGACCCAGGAGACTGTGAGGGCCATGGGTCTGGATCCCCATGGAGACAGGCTGTTCCTGCTCCACCTGATGGAGATCTATGGCTATGACACCCTGCTTGTGTCAGAGCAGCTGTGCTGCAGTTGAGACATCAGATGACCATCTTTCCACCTTTCATCACTGCTGTTTTAAAAGGGGGTTGATTTGCATTGATTGAACTGTGAGTGCTGCACTACTGGCTTCTTGGAGTCTTCAGGACAGTTTGGGCCTGCAGAAATTTCTCTGGTATAACTTGTTGTATGCCTTCCGGGGCGTCTTTTGTTAAATGTGGTTTCTTCTCGCTCACAACCTGATGGAAAGAGCAACACTACCAACTCTCACGTATAATAACCAAGAGTGATGCGGTCAATTCTATTACTTAATACAGCCTCATAGAGATAAACTCACCGTTAAGATGGATTACTGACTCTTGGCTGACTGAAAGTGATTTTCTGAATCAGATACAGCTGCAGTATTTCAACAATGAGCCGTGTATGAATGCCATGGATGGCAGGTCCAAACGCAAGATGATAAGAGCTCTAAAGTGGCCTGAACTGTACTCACACATCAAGTTGAATGACAGGTCAAGAAACTTCTTCCAAGAAGCCAGTGATATGGAGATTTTTAGTGAAAGAAAGTATACTGAGGATTAATGTATGAAAGTGAAAAAGAGAGGTAGCCTTCCTGTAAATAATACTGTTTTTTCCCCCTCTTATGTACAGTGTGTCAGCATATGTGTGATATGAGGTCCGCCTCTCTGCCAGTGTTGCTATCTTTGTATCAAGTGCTGGATTTAAACATCTCATTTTGAGTCAGGGCCTCCTCTCTGGAAATCTAACTTATGTCATTATAAGCAGGTCAAACCTTTGTTTTCAGGAGCCATGTCTGTAAGCACTGCTTTTTAAGTGGAACTTAATGCGACAAATGACGTTTGCCATGTAATGTTTAGACTAATGATGTCCCAACAGACAAGCGTAGTGTCCACTTTGACATGGAGGCAATATAAAATGGCTTATTTCACGCTGGCTGTCAGCTGGGCCTGCAGTTTAGATGAATAAGTTGAAACACAAAGAGTACTGTTGTAGTCTTTAATGCTTTATTCAAATGTCCAGTTGTATTTGCAGCTCTAGTGTCAAGACAGGCCTTCAGGGGGTGAGTTCACATTGAGGATTCTCTCAATTCAGAGACAATGAGCAAATGTTTTTTTTTATTTTTTTTTTTAAAACAGCTACCATCTGCAAAATAGATAATAGAGAATCGGTTTAGTAAATGTTAAGATCTGTACATTTCAAAGCACACTATAGCAGTATATACTTTCGGCTACATCAACAGCAAAACAGAGAAGTTAATTAGCATTCTCTTCTTGACACATACTAAACTAACCCTGAGCTTTGGTAACTCCATGGGCTTTGTGCCCAATACAAGATGTACTCCTACAACAAGCTAAAGGTTATCATTCAGATATTGTCTGATTTACAGTGATCATTTTTATAAATTTAATTATTTTTAAATGTATTGGTAATGTATGTTTTTTTTTTAGTTTGTTTAGCTGTAAATTGTTTTAAGTGTAAATATTGAATTGCTGTAACATTATCTGTGAAGAAATGGGATCAGCTGAATGTGTTTTATAAGACAATTATGGTCCCACAGAGCCTCTGTGTATCACTGAAACCCTCATGCAATTATGTGTTCAACTGTCCGTTGTAAGAAAACAACTTTGAGCATATTTTCACGCCACATCGCATGGCACCTTTAGACAAGCTGTACAGAGCTGAAGCAGCAGTCTTTGTATTTGAAGGGATAGTCTGACTCATGTTAAAACACCTTCACTTTATTTATTTTACTGCAAATCATTTCAGAAATAAAGTGCATCACCACTTGTAAGATAAATACAGTTCTCGTATTTTTGAGGTGCCCTTCCTCTCAAACATCAATGGACTTGTTTTGTCTGTTGACGTTTGTTCATGTGCATGCTATGAGAACTTTCCATAGCGCCTAACCTCAAACATTCATGAGTGGTTTTACTTGTTGCCACTGATGATACATTCCTCACCACTTGAGACACTTCCATCATTGACATTACGATTAATCCCACATCTGGAGCCATTGGTGGTGATGTCATAGCCACAGTGTGTGCCCATGACGTCAGTCAGCTCTGTTTGAGGTCCAGGCCATCGCAGGGCAAAGTGTGGGTGGTTTTGGATTGTCTTAAAGAGAAACAAGTCTGACCCTCCAGCTCCTGAGGGGAATCCTCCACACTGCAGCCCAGTACAGGTATACAGGATAGGGGCTTCACACCCTGGATGGGGGTGAAGTCTCACAGTGAGGTTGCAATAGAATAGTGTGCTCTCTTTCCTAATACAGGATATGAAGTGAGTCACTTTTTCCACTCGACGGCACCCCTAATGGAAACAAACCAGTCAGTGGTTTGTAGATGTTAAAAAGTAGCAAGAAGAGTTTTTGGACATTTTATGGGAAAACCCAAATAAATGAGTGGAGGATAACAAAAATGGATGGCACATGGGGTTGCTGAATGGTTTGATGACTATGAAAATGATTTGTGTGATGAATTGTGTGTTATGATCCTCGCAGTCACCTGTTCAGTCAACCCAACTGAAAGCCTATGGGGGATTTTTGCGCTCTCCACACCACCATAGGACACTTTATACTAGTTTGTTCTTTTCTCAAGCTACCACATTCCTTATAAAAAGGAATCTACTGTAGACACCTGGTCCACATTTAATGTTTTTTTGCTGGTGGATTTAATTCATAAAAGAAGCAGGGAATACTCTCAAGGCTTTAGTTGTCTCCAAATCATCTTTCGGAATCGGTTTGTGTGGTTGACTGCACAACAGCTTTTCACTGTTTCCCCTTTTTTTTTTTTAAATACAAAAAGGAGTATGTGGCATCATTACTCAACATTTGAAAATAAAATGCAATAGACTCTTATATAATAATTTCAAGGACAATAAAAAGCAGCACTTTGTGTCATTAACATTATTCTCCATCACAGAGATACCTTACCTGTGGAGCAGTGTACAGATAGAGGACATAAGGTTCAGTCCTGGGGATAACAGATCACATCTATTATCTTTGGGTTGTCACTATCCAGCAGGAAGCCACTCATTGTGCAGTCACTGGACACTGGAGATGCCCCCAGCTGAGAGACCACACATACAAGAAAACAAAATGCTGTTTAGGACTTATGTCCATTGTTATGCACGGCCTAAGGGAAACCTGAGTGCAACATAAATGTGTCTCCCCTCTTTTCCAGACTTCCCTCTTCTATGCAGAATATACCAAACTAGAAATGCATTGTCAGCTTTTACAAAACGTTCGTCAAGTTGGTTTAATCCACCACAGCCTTTGTTGCATTGGAGAGCGAGCTTGTCTTTGTGACTCCAGTAAGTCTAAATCAATTCAAATCATGTGCAGTAATGATGAACTAGAAAAAAATACAAACTGTTACATAGAGTACAAAATTGACTAAGGGGTATGATTTTCATTGATTTGAAAGCTAAACCCTTGACATAACCATTAAAAAAAAAAATTAAAAAAAATTAATAATCAAAAAAACAAGCCTCACCTCTAGTACTTTGTTCTTCTTTCCCTCCACACGCTCCCCTCTCCGACTCGTCAGGATGGAGTAGCAGGCTTTGCACACTTTGTTCAGCTTGTTTCCGTCATACTCTAAAGCCGCTTTATTGTCTGAACACTTCCAGCACACCACCTGGTGAGCAGAGAAACCGTTATTGTTCCAAAATTAGATTTTGCCTGGATTGAGTGTCAGGCGCAAAGCTATCACATCTCGTCACTTACGCTGCCACAGGCTCTGCAGTGATGTCTTCTCCTGGTAAGCGCGTTGAAAGGTTCCTGGCATTTCATACACACGGTCACCTCGTTGTCCCTGATCCAGCGAGGGGCACGTCGGCCGAGTTCCTCCGTCTGTAAAACACATGCACATCAGCTTGCATGTTTTATTGTCTTACAGAATTTTCTGAGTGGATTATAAAAATATACAGTCCCCTTGGGAAATATGATCAAACTTACTGGGTCTTCTATATTCAACTCCTTAGAAGCCAATTTGAAGGTGTAATTTTTCTTCTGAAACACGTCAACGGCTGCCTGAATTACCTGGAGATAAAACTTGTTTTAAAAAAACTCAACTGACTCTACTGAATCTTTTTCTAATCCATATAATATTTAATATGTTGTACCAAACACTAAATAAAAAATCCCCAGTACCTTTATCCACTCATCTCTGTCTTGTTCAGAGCTTGAAAACACACACACACACACACACACACACACACACACACACACACACACACACATGAAGTACAATTAAATTGGACATAGGTTTAAAGAACTGTACCTAAAACATAAGATTATGTTGAATAAGTTGAGTAGTTTAAAATGGAAAATCAAATACATGTACTTTCTAACTAGAACACATTCTACTAAAGCTGCACAATCCTCTAGATGTATTGTGCACACATGTTTGCAACATGAGATGTCAACTACAACAAAGAACCAAAAACATAACCTTAGTAGAAGTAAAAAATGCATACATCTCAACTGGTATGATACACTTCCACACACACACACACCTGGTCTGCAGCTCAAGGGTTCTCTCCTTTCCAGAGACTTGGAAGGTGTATGGGTGGTCTTCATTGGTGGTCTGCTGCACCTGCATGCCATCCACCCCGATCCTGCAGCGGACTGTAAATCGCTGGCCAACTAGACTGAACTTAGGAGTGCAGCACAGCAGAAAGTTGTTGAACTGTGGAGAAAAGTTGTAATCCATATTAAATATACATTTTAGGCCATTCTTAACTACAATGCTGTAGAAAAAGTGCAGTTTAAAATAATCTGTGGATTTCTCTATGATAGAAAGATAAAAGAAAAGGGTTGATATGTACATTCAAAAAATTTTTTGATTGAAAAGATTCATGGATCCTCATCTCAAAAAAAATAAGTGTGTCTGCATCGGTTTCTGAATACATGTCAGCATTCTAACCAGGAAAAGGTGCCTCTCCATGGCAGATGTGTTCCTGGCCGCAAGCTTGAGTAGACGACCTTCTCTGATGAACTCGTTGGCCGGGTTGACCACTTCCTCCTCTCCAACCATCTCATAGATCTCCAGCAGCCGTTTCAGGCTCTCCTACAGGGAAGAAAAAGAAACACTGTTAACGATCTGTAGGGAGACAATCATAGCTATCAATCATTCAGTACAACTAATGTGTTGTGTAACCGTGATGAGGTCTTACTTAGAACGATGGTAAATGTTATGGTATGTAATGGTAACGTACAGCTTTGTGGATGGCGCTGTTTGAGTGTGTGGCTGCCATGGAAATGGACTGCAAGGATTCTGCAGGTAGGACACAAAAAGGAATTTCATTCTGCTCATTAGGAACATAATGCCTTGTTGCAGAGACAGGCAGTTTATGAGTGAAAGAAAGGTACCATAAAAATCTGACACAAACACACTGAGAGGAAGGATATTGGTAGACTGACCAATTAAGCACTGGTTTAGCATACTTACTGTGAGCAAGCTCATAGTCTGGGTTATCCTCGGGCAGTCTCTTCAGGTAATCCCTGAGCAGCATTTCATAACGTGGAACCCTCTGGACTGGTTCCAACATGTGGTGCTGCAGGGTCAGGCTGCCACACACCTCCTGACTCTAAAAACGCATACATCACATCCTGCTCAGAACTTTTAGGTGTATAGGAATAAGTACTGATGCATTCCCTGCTGAGTATGTTCTTGATGATTACCTGTATGTCCTGGATGATGTTTCTGAAGGCGGAGGAGCGTTCGGTCCAGGTCTTCACCAGTTCCAAGGCCTGGTCAAAGTTTCTGACATAGTCGGCATACATCCTCAGGAAGGGTGCATGTTGCAGGAGAACATTACCCAGGCCTGGGCTCTCATACCTAGTTTGGTTGAAATGGGAAGGTCAAGGTCTTAAAGAGTTTGGATATTATATCAGAAAGTCCTGATGTAAACTACATAAAGACAAAACATTCAGCATCTTCCCTGGTGGTGCTCTGCCAATACTGCACTGCAGACTTGCTTAAGACCAAAGTAAGTAAGTAAAAACTCATGAAACTACACTTACTTGTGGTTTTATGCCTTGGCCAACCAGTAAAGTTGCAGTTTGCATCCATGTTTGTTCAAACTCAAAATTTATGTAGTTAATACTTCCATACAGTATGTATAATTCCAGTGAATATACATTGTTGAACTGCTCAATGAAGGATTATCATAGATGTATTGGCTAAACAGGTACACATGTACTTGATTACTATGTAAAGATGGATTATTATAGTACAACTACACAAAATGCGGTGCTTTTGTTTTACTGGCATTTTTTGATGAGAGACCTATGAGCTGTAGGTGAAGCTCGCTCCAATACCGAGAATAGAGAAAAGCCCGTACTGTGCTAGTCACTTATAGTGTTGTCCCAGTCAACATGTGTGTGAAATTCAGATTTTTTCTCCCCGCCCCAGGTGTTCCTGAGAAATCACATTTACAAGAGTGGAACATAGGTTTGCATATAGATGGTAGGAATGTTTCCCTACAAATATTTTGGGACCCTTATGACATGAACACCTACCAGTGGCTGATGCAGTTTTCCAAGTCAGGTAGCAGGAATTGGCTGTGGAAGGAGTAGATAGAGGAAATGTTGGAGAAGATATTTCTTATCACCTCGGGAGGAAATGAGCCCCGGCCTGCCTCTTCTGTTAGGCGTGAGCAGAACACCTGCGATGGGAGTTACAGAGGCATGACACGCTCAAATTAATTTTACAGTTATTGATCTGCTACACTAGAAATGTTCTATCGCTAAAGAACAACAGGCAATTGAAAAACTAGCTAATTTTCTTTTAGTATCAAATGCATTGCGTTTTCGTGGAGGTGGCTACAAACAGATTACACACTGACCTGGTCTAGCAGGTGGAGACGAGCCACATAGGCCCTCTCTGTCTGCAGGAGTTCATTGGCTATCTTGTACAATTTCTGCTCTGTGTTCTCTTCATCTTTCTCACTTCCCCACTCTTTCATCTTCTGCTCATCATTTTGTTCACTTTTAGACTCCTCGTGAATCTCGCCATCTTTTGTAGCTGCCTCATTCCACTGGCAGGAAAACTTGGAGCCATGTCCTACGGGTATCTTGCCTTCTTCCATTGTGTCATTTACTTCAATCCCATTTATTACCATGTAATCTTCCCACTGACTATGCCAGTCATTTGTCCTGAAGAATGCTCTTTGCCATTGCTTAATAAATGGGCTTCATTTGTGGCATGACTGAGTCTATGGTTAACTGTTGAGTTGATGGTGATGGCTGGCACGTTGCAGTCGGGTGATTGCAGCGGTTTCGGTGGAGAGCGTTCAACTTTTTCGGTGGGAACCCTGCAAAAATAAAGTACATCTATCATTTAAAATTCAAGTAATATTCACAAATGATTGGATTCTATATAGTGCTGTACATGCTACGGGAAGGTATTCAGGTAATCAAGGAGCAGACATGGACCAAATAAAAAATCCAACCTGTTGTCATCCAAGTAAAAGATCAAGTCAGGCACACTCAAGGATTTCCCCGCTCTCTTCTTTTGTCCTTCCATGTTGCTGCTTGGGCTTCTGTGCAGTCCTAGCCAGGATTTAGAGTTCTTGGCAAGGCTATAGCTCCTCATCCTCCCCAGCACAGGGCTGGGGGTCCGCACTTTTCTTGCCAGAAGGCTCTGGTTCCTTGGGGACAACTTAGCAGTGTTGTGCCACCCTTCCCTTAATGGGCTACAGGTCTGAGTGCCACTTTTGCCTGGACTGGGAGATCCTAAAACTGGACTGCTTTTAAGATTTGGAATCCCCTGAGTAAGTCTGGCAGGGCTGATACATGCTCCAGATACTCCATTGAAAAAGCTGTTTCCTCCTCTGACAGGACTAGGGGAGCCTAGGCAGTTTTGTGCTGGGCTAGCACAGGAAACAGAAACTACACAACCTCTGTTAGGACTCTGGTCTTGCTCTGTGCCATTAACTTGTAGAGGCAGTAATTTTCCTGCAGTGGGACTGTGCGCTTGAGCTTGTCCTGCCCTCAAAGGACTCTGGAGGTGAGTTGGTTTAGGATGTGCTGAAAGAGATAAACAGCTAATTTATGATTATAGTTCAATGTCTCGAAGGTACAGTATACTCCACAACACATTAAGTTAGGATACGTGACAGACTTACAGTAATAGACTTGCTTAGATAGGATTGATTTCTCAGGTTATGTATGTAGGCTGGTAGACTTCAGCCTACCTTGTGGTTTGAAAGGTGATCCACTAGCTGGGCTTCTTTTGCGGGATTCATCTACACAAGGTTTAGACTTCAGTTCTGATCCACAGACCCTGTCACAAGCTCGGCCACAGCTGTACGAGCCACACACTCCACTGCTCACTAATAAAAAATGTTTACAGTTACTACTTGAACCATACATACATATTTTTCCACACTGCATGGCAATGACTTCCGTATACAGACCTTCTTTCACAGTTATACTGGGTGAAACCCAAGGTGTCAATTTATTTGGTTGCGCTATTATAAAGTAGTGAAACAAATCTTAATGTCTTTAAAAAGAACTTTACATATTTTTCTATTAAAATATTATCTATATTTGACTATAATCAAAATAAAATATATTGATTTTGAATTCTGACCTAGGCTTGGCATTTGTTTTGGAGGACCTAAATCCTAGGAAACTAAATACAACATCTTAGTTAAACCATTTTGAGGGAATGATTCAGAGGTTCCTCCTGAGCCTTCTTACATGCACATGGAAAAACTGACCTTATTGTACGGTCACTAAGCTCTTGTTTGTTATTGCTAAAATGTTTCATCTGCACTTATACTATTCATTATTTTCTTTTAGCACTGCATGGTGTTGCTGTACAGTACTATGCCCTGTTTATTACTGTACTGTTCTGCCTGTATGATATGATATCCTGTATGTGGTCACTGGTATTAAGTCGGTCATGCAGAGGCTGTTTGTGAGGTGTTTTTATAGTGCATGTTCTTTTTTCGCCACAGTGCTAATCTATTTCCCTTTGAGCTGATAAAGTGAATCAATTGGTATCAGCCTTCAGATCCAACTGTTTATCAAACATTTCCTTCTAAGGTAAAAAATCAGAATGAAGCTAAATGTACTCTCCACTCCATCTTCATGCACACACACACACCGAGCCAGCTATTCTTTTCTATCAATCCTGGCCCCAATACTATATTATATGTACAGAATGCTCCAGGTGAAGATGAAGCATATCTGATACAGATATTATTCTTGGTTTCTATTGTTTTTGATCCAATTAGGATCCTCAAAAAACAATAACAGTATGCATGTTAAACACGTCACAGCATTCACTGCGACTTCATTACTCTCCTTTTGACTGACATCCTTACTTCACAGCAACAACTTACTACTTTCAAATTGTGTAACTGTTTGTTTTCTACCTGCAGTTTATGTCCAAATTTCAATGCAGGATAATCCATAACTTGTATAACATAGACAAGCTTGCCTGTTCACTCCTGGCTCTACTCAAGTGTAACAGATCCGTTGGTCATGTGGAGAAGGCTAAAACCTACTTTCCCAACATTGTAATGCTTCTGCTTTCTCACTTCTCTCTTTCCTCCATCAAGTCAAACCTTTGCCAGTCTTACACATTATAGCAGCGTCTAAGAGCAACCTTCCACATTTGTCTCAATAAATAGAGTAGACCTACTATCATTCCAACAGACTGTTGCATTTTTTACGACAGCTGAAGCAAAAAATCTTAACAGAAAATTAGAGGATGCATGTTGAAGGCTACAGCTATAGGCTACAAATTTATACATAATTTAAAAGCTTCTACATTGGAGTTTGTTATATTCTAACGAACGGAAAGATATTGGAAATAAAAAATAATAATATACTGTAATTGTGTGCAGATTCCTTACAGGAATACTTCAACAACACGCTTATTCGAGCTGAGTGAAGTTCTGAGACGTCTTCTCCAGGTTTTTAACCTCCCTCTTGCAAAGAAAAGCCTATGTTAATTTCATCTTAAAAATTAAAAACGTTGGCCTTAAAAGTTTATGCAAGTGTGCTTGTTTTCAACAAGCCTTGCACCAAGCCAAAGAGTCATTTTCATTATACCCTACAGGTCGGAGAGATGGATGGCACTGTTGAATCCTGCATCTGACAGTACCATTGGAGCAAACATACTTCTCTAATCTAAACAGATAGCTCTGCCTCAGTAGGGGAACAGAACGGCTTTGTGTGTGTGTTTTGTAGGGATTGACAAATGCTGGTCTTAAGACAAACAGGCAAAGTCCAGGCTGAATCAGGGGAAAGAGATTTTACTGCAGCCAACAGGCACCAACTGTGCCTAAATTCAGATACTTGCATGCACAATGCACTAAAAACACTAGCTTCTCTACACTGACAAGAACAGGACTCCTAACTTGTTACAATTGCAGTTCTGCATTTGCTGTGAAGCCTGTCAAATGCAAAACATATTAAAGCCCCAATACTCTAATTTTTAATAGAATCAATTCTTAGTGTCTTATTAGTTCATGTCTTACCAACTTCATGTCATAGCCAACCCAAAAGGAGATACAGGCTATCTACAGAGGGACTGTACACTATAGACTATGGTAAAAGCTGGCTTTTATGTCGCAAAGATGTCTGCAATATTTAGCGCTTTCAGTTCATGTAATTAGTTCTTAAAATGCCTGAACATGTGATATACTTAATGTGGATAAAAGTAATACTGGTAAAGTACCTCACCTGTGTGTGAGGACTGGCAGTCAACCGCAGCGCCTTTCACTTTCCGTCTGACCGCCGCTCGTCTGAACTCCTCCGCCTCGCGGCTGCAGCCCAAACTGTTCCTCTTCTTCATGTCAAACATTGTGACAAAGTAGCGTCAGCTCCAACAAAATATAGTAAGTTGGACCGGAAACAGAGAGGGAGGAGTGACGTGCCGGTGTCCCCGAGACTTTGATGTTCACTCTTTCACGCGCTCAATCACAACCACTAATATCTATTCGGCCCTTTGACAAGCACCGCCTCTCATTTAAATCCCCACGCGCTACTGAAACAAGCCCAATGAAGGACATTGACCAATCAGCCAGCACACATCGCGTTTACCATTGTGAAGAGAAATCCATAAAATCAATTAGACGTTGACAAGATCTGAGCAGTTTACACGTCTTCGCTTTAAACCTGTCACTGTATATTTACACTCCGCGTGTCATATTTAGGCCTACACTGATCAAGCGTATAAAATGTCTGTTTTAATGTTTTAAAAAGTAGGCTTATTAGGTATTCTCCGGGTAGCCTTAATCAGCAGTCATCTGTAATTGAAGTTATTCGTCTTCATTTATTCAATAAATAAGTAAACGTTAAACAAAGATTGAGTAAAATTAAGTAAATGCCTTTTCCAAATCTTTTCATGTCAATTATCATTTAAAATTTCTAAAACATTTAGGCCTACACAACATTTCTACCTTTCTGTATACCTGTATTTCTAGACATCTGGAGAGCCCTCTATATATTATTTTTTTCTTAATGTATTGCTTTGTTCACTCATAGAGCCTAGTCCATGGACTGCAATGAGGGTGTGATGGATTTATTTAATGGATAATGTCCTCCTTAAAATATGAGCATTGCTGAGGAGGATAATCTTCTGGATTTCTTGTATCTTAATGTTATAGGGGATTTTGTTGGTGTACTTTTCCATCACTTTCTTTACCAGACCAAGAGCACCTATTACTTCTGGAATTGTTGTCTTCAACCCCCACATTCTTTCAATTTCTATCTCCAGATCTCTGTTGGCATTGGTTTCTTTATCAATTTGAATTGGCGTGCCCCAGATTATAGTAGCTTCATCATTGTCTATTACGGTTGATGGCTCATGTTCATAGTATTTATCCTTTTCTTTGATGTTGTAATGCTTACAGATTGCCCAATGGAGGTATGCTGCTGCTTTGTTGTGTCGTTGTATGTATTCTGTTTTGGAAAGTTTTGGGCAGCCACATTGGACAGTGCACATTAATACAGACAACATTAAAAACATGCACTTTTAATCATAAGCAGCACAAAAACATGGGAAAAAATTAAAACGTGAATTACGTAAGCACAGACAAAATCAGACAAGCACAAATAATATGACATGTAGAATACATCAACATGTGAGGATCTGATTGTCCTGTAACCACTGTTTTATAGCTTTTGAAAAAGTGGTTAAATAAGAAATGTTTCTTAGTTTTGTAGGTATCGTATTCCAGGTACGCGCTGCTCGGTAGAAAAAGGCTGACTGTCCAAAAGAACTTTTCCTATGAATATGACTTATTATCCACTGTTTTCATAGTCAATTTATAAACTGTTTCTACTGACTGTAATGCAGTCCTTCCTGTCTGCGTCCAGCTGGTCATACAGTAGTTCATATGTGACAATATCATGGCATTGATGTACAACTTTGAGGCTTCTGTAGTTAAATTACTCCTAACGTGTCTACAATTTACCAAATTAAATTTAATTCTGTTTACAGCTTTTTTAACTTGTGATTTAGATGTCAGTTGTGTATCTAATATTATACCTAAATACTTAAAATCATGCACAACTGACAGAGTTCTTCCTGCTACAGTAACCTCTGGGTCTGGATCTTTATTTGCAGATTTTGAAAAGTACATGCATACAGTTGTGCTGGTTTTCCTTTTCTCCCCCTTTCTATTTAGTTATGCTGCTCAAGCTGTTCTCCAGTTATGCTGACTCCAGTTCTTCCAGAGAAGATGGAGCTGGGAGCCACAACATGGAGTTTAACGGCAGTACTGTCACCAGAGTCATCTCCACTATGTACCACTCTGAAAGCACTGAGCTGACCAAGCTGGAGAGTGACCGACTACAGTGCAGGTGGACACATACTTATGTCAGTCCTCTGTTAGTTTACCCAAAAGTCATTATGGTATGTAGTGATTCCCACACAGGAGAAGAGGAAGGAAACAGAGGAAGAGAGTAGCAGCAGTAGCCAGTCTCCTCCAAAGAAACGCTTGATGGTCTTTTTCTCTGATGCAGTTTAGCATCTGTAGGCATATTATTATTATTACCCTTGAGGGCTGGTCTCCTAGTAACGTCTTACAACGGGATCAACGCTGCCCCATATGAAGAATATGGATGCCTGAGGGGTTATTAATGTATATTTGTATATAGTTTGGTTCAACATGTTTACAGTACAGAAGTCAGTGCTTTTGGTAGGTCTTGCACCTTTTTTATTTCTTAGCAGAGGTGTGAACTCGATTCACATGACTTGGAATCAAGTCAGACTCAAGTCACAAATATGATGACTTTAAACTCGACTTGACAAAATAAAAAAGAACCCACTTGCAACTTTAACACCAATGACTCCTGACTTCACTTGGACTTGAGCCTTTTGGCTTTTATGATATAAAACAAACTGTTTGCAGTGTATCAACGCTTCATTTAACAGTTTATAGTATGAATCCAACAGCAACCAGTCAAATTGCGCTAGCAGAAAAATATTGCAGAGGAATCTAGGCAAGTGAATTCAGATGAGTTGGATGTCAGCAAGATGATCCCAAATGTTATAAGTTTTGGATATAAAGACTACGCTGTAGTCAACAAAAGGAGTAAATTAGCGGTGGAGACGCAACAACTTTGTTCGACATTTGAAGCTGCACAAAGAATGGGAAAGAGACAAGAGGAGAGGAGACACCATGAATACTTCATCTGTTGGGCTGCTGAGGATACTCACCTGTCTGTCTTTATCTCTTCCCAGTGAGGACAGTGGCTCCAGATGTCCACCTCATCTTCTGCAGGAGACCATCAAGATGCTCAGAGATGCTTCATCTACATTTGTCATCTTTGGTAGCTACATTGTAGCATGGTATGCCATTCTCAAGGAGTTCTTTCAGTCGCTTTGGGTACATTTACATTTTTGTTCAACCCCTTAGACAATGACATTGTTTCCTCTTTTCTATTATTATCAAGAAATCCCATGAAAATACCTAAAAAGACAAATTTTAACCTAAACAGGACAAATTACAAGTGACAGATGTAACATGAACACATATGGAAAAATGATTACATATTGCACATTTCAACAATATATTTGTTAAACAAGTCATCAGGATATCCATAATAACTGCATAATACAGTAAAAAAGGTTGATGACACAACTCAGTGAAACATTTAAAGTTACATGATAACACTAAGGTAAAGTAGAATAGAACTTTTTATAACATTTTCAAACTGGCACTTTAGTCAAATAGTCAGTCTCAAAGGAATAAGAATCTCTTTTTTGCTCACTGTAATATGTTTGAATGATCAAGGTAGCTTAGTTATTATACATCACAAGGTTGTACAACAAAATGAAAGTTTGTAGTCCCTTCAGGCTACACACTATGAATATGGTAGCATTTAAATAGATCTAAATAAAAAAATCAATATATACAGTTTAAATAATAAAGGCAATACATGCATGTCCACACCAAGGAAATTATTCTGCAGTGCATTTTTTTAATTTGCGTCTGAGAGAATGTAAACAATAGTAACAAGGTAGTGATGATAATATGGATTTCATTTTAACATAAAAAGTCTGACATTTTGGAAACAGTGTCCATCAACTTCATCTGCATTTAGCACTAAGCATTCATCGATGTAAACACAGAGTCTGCCTCCTCTCATCTTGCCGGAGTCTGTCGGCTCAGGTTCCTTCTACCCAGCGAGTGCTGGAGCAGGTCTGTGTAATGATATAGAGTTCTAGCATAATCACAAAGTAGGCTATTTTACTTTGACAGAATTCAGTATTGTGTTTGGTTCCAGGGAAATGTAGCTATATGTTTCACAAGGGATGCGATAAAGGCCTATGACAAATTCTCTAAACATATCTTATCTCTCTAGATTTTAAAAATGTAAAATGTTCCACTGTTACACCGTCTCGCTTTAAAAAAAAGAAAGAAAAAAAGACAAGCCTCAGAGTCAAACACAGGTGGTTCAAGAGCATCATCTAGTGGAGTTAACATGCCACTGACAAACAGGTCACTCAAGCCCACTTGGGATTGAAAAAGATTTGAACCCATAACTGCAGGGGAGACTGCACCGTGAACACAGGACCACACTGCCTTGACAGTATAATAATAACGCCTAACGACTTGTGAATCAATCAATAAATTTATAAAAAGACCTACATAAATAAATAATTATAATTAGATGTTACAATCAGTTAAAGAAACTACACATTCCAAATGTCATATCCTTGGTCCTTTCCTTTGGTTTATAGGTAATAGCTCTCTGCTACATTCATACCTCTATAATAACGCTATCTCTGTTGTTACAGCAGATAACTGTTCCTCTGTTGCTTATTTTAATTACAAGAAATCTTGGAGTAATCTATGGGGCAGATCTCTTTTTAAAACAAAAAAAATGCCCAGGTTTGTGTCTTTCAGCTCAAGAAAATCTTCAAAATGTTTTAAAAAATGTGTTTTATTGTAGCCTATTTCCACTGTGGTCTTCGTTGTAGTCTAATAAACATGGCAAGGCACTACGGATGACTGAAGGTACTCTGTACAATCAAGATCTTACAATATACAACCAAAAGAAAATAAACAAGAATAAAAACACAAATACTTAACCTTCCAATAATAAATTCTCCTTAAAATGGAATAAAAACTCAATCTAAATTTGCATTTAACAACCATTCACCACATGCCTTAGAACAGCGATCTGATTGGCTTGATTTTATCTCAAGTTGGAAGTTTGTTCCATTCAGTGCTGCCATATACAAAAAGGTGTTTTGCCAAGAACAGCTCTTAAATCTACGAGGTAGGCCTACTATTTCAGTGGCACTGCCTCTAGTAGAGTAGCTATGAGAGCTCTTAAAATAATCTTTAAAATACCTTGGCTCATTCCTATGCAAAATCTTTCATGTTAAGCTCAGTTTCAGCTGCCTCAAACTGTATTCAACTGTCAACCATTTTAAGTCCATAATT